GGGGGGGGGGGGGGGGGGGGGGGGGTCCGCCCCAAACTCTGCAGCGGCAGCTGAAGTGGGCTGAACGGTGTCTGCCAGGAGGGTGTGGCTTTCTTCTGTTTCTGAGAAGCCCAAGCGCAGAACCCGCGGCCTGACCTTAGTTCGGCAGGGAACGGCAAGGCGGAGGGTCAGCACGGATGGAGATGTCCAAGGGAACAGCGAGCACCTAGGATGCTGCAGGCATGAAGTTGGAGCTCTTGATTTCAAGGGATGATAAGGCCGACTGTAGCCAGGTGCGTTTCGCAGAATTAGAAAAAGGTTTTAATAAATAGAGCAACGATAAAGAGGACTCCACGGCAGAAGGAACTGATGAGAAAAGATCAGGGAGGTGGGAGACCCTAAGCAGCTGTCTCAAGGGCTCATCCGCACCGCCCATTTCAGGTCCAGCCTGCCACCAAGACAGGCTGAGGGTGGGCCGAGGAGATTTGCAGAAGGCACCGAAGGCTTCCAGCTAAAATCGGAACAAGCCCTTGACTATCTCGATCTTCTGATTCGCATGGAGCAGGAATCCAGCAACCTGGGGGTCCAGTTGCCCAGCTGGAAGACCACCACCCCTCATCCGGCCACAGACCTCCACACCTCCAAAGCCATCTCTGTTTCGGCTGCCATTCCGGTGCCTGGCCCAGCAGCCAAGCCGCGTGGGTGCTTCATCCCTAGTAGGAACGACCTCACAGCGCGTGTCCCATGAGGTCGCAGTTCCCTTGGGGGACCTCCGCCGCCTCCCACCGCAGCAATCCCTGCTCTGCCTCTGGTCTGCCAGCTCGGGCCTCTGTGCTCCGGGGCGGGAGCGGGTGCAGCTGATAACCTGCCTACCGCGCCCGCCTTTGCGTGGCTCCCTGCATCCCAGAGGGCAGGAAACAACTTTTGGGGAGCCTTTTCAGCCAGAGAGGCCGGCTGCCAGAAGGATCTGAGCTTGAGCAGTGAAGGGGGAAGGAGCAAGGAAGACCCCGTGGCTCGGGTGCAGCAGCAGCTGCAGAATCCCCTCCCTTTCCACCAGCAGCTGTTTTTCAGGAACATCTTTGCTCCCCCTTGAATTTGGGAGGAAAGCACCTGACTGGGAAGAGCCCCCAGGTGCTGTTGGAGGAAACGAAGAGAGGGTCTGGGCCTATAAAGCAAGAGGGGAGGGAGTGGAGAGGATTAGCCTGGAGAAGGACTACGAAGGGAGCTGCTAGCCTCTCCAAATCTCAGAAAAAGGTGATACAGAAGGAGGGTGTGACTAGTCCTTCCTGGATTATAGATTTAAATTACAGGAAGGCCAATTCCAACTCAGTCTTAGAAATGATGTCCTAAGTTCAACTGGATTCCTCTACAGAGGGGGATAGTTGGATTCCGTGGCTAAAATGACCTGTTCCTATTGTAAAATGTGTGTGTGTGTGTGCATACACGTGCACCACACTTGGTTTCCAGGTACTTTTCCTAGCTTTTCTGTGATGATGGCAACTGTTAATTAGACAAAAGCTAAAAAGACCTAAAACATCCCATGTCTGAGATTGGAAGGAAACTGTTGCTTCCCCTGTTGCTGGCAGAGTCTTCAATTGTAAGAATGTGCAAAGCTGATTTACGCTGGGTGATTTGCCCTCTGGCTTTTCTGCTGGGCCTGGCAGCCTGCTGCAGGCTGGAGGTGCTTGGTGTCAAATTGGGACTTCACCTGCAGAGCCTTCTTGCTCACCGCTCATTTCCTGCTTTTGAACGTTTGGGGCGTTTGGGGCTGGAGGAGGAGGAGGAGCTGGAGGGGGCCCGCGAGCCCCTCACCCTCTCTCTGGCCATCTCTCACCTAACCGAATTAAGGCCTGGTTGAGGTCCGTGTGGTCCTGCAAATGCAGCTTTGGCATCTTCACCATGGTGGACCTCTCCTCGGGGAAGGATGTTTCTAGGTTGACCTGGAGGACCTCAGACAGAAACTGAGAGAAGTTCCTCTCGTGGTGGCTTGGAATGATGGCCACGAAGGTGGTGTTGCCCTTAAAGGGGAACTTGGCAACCTGGAGGGAAGAGCACAGGGAGGGTCTGAAATGGCCGCAGCCTAGACCACAAGGACGGTGCAGTCACGGGGATCCCCGAGGGTGGCCTCTTCCCCACTCGCACAACCACCCAGTGCCCCAAATCCTCCGAGCAGGCAAGGAAATGCCAAACGTCTCGGGGGCTTGAACCGGCTGAGTGCAAAGCCCAGCTGCTGCTCTCGCCACTGTCGCCTGCTTGTCCAGTACCTGCCCATTCAGGGGCTCCATGCTAAACCAGCTTAGGGGGTACTCCTGCTCCTTCATCATCTCCACAGAGACCGCAAACTCATCGTCCAGGTGGAACATGCTTGGTTCTGTCAGGAGTGGGTCGAACTTGGTCTTCCAGAAGCCTAACCCACAACAGAGGGGACATCAGGCCAAGAGGCTCAAGGCCGCGAGTTCTTCCCCTCCACGAAGCTGCTCTTTTCAGCACTCAGGGTTTTCAGCCAAGTATTTATATTGTATCCCCCCAAAAGGTAACCCATAAAATGACAGAACCTGCATTCATAAAGTACAGCCTGACTGAATACGAGTACTGCCCCGGCTCCCCCCCCCGCCTGGTCTGGCCCTGCGCGTAGCCCCCTCAGCCAGGCAGGAAGACCCACCTTGGAAATACACCGCGTTGAGAAGGACCATCACGACACTGGGAGGCAACTCGGTGAGCATGGTGGAAATCTGCCCGTTCGTTGCTTCTTCCACCCAGCTGTTGATGGCTGCAAGGTCAGCCTCGCTGTTCCCAGAGAGCACGGCTGGCTTTACCCCATAGAATCTCTGGGACTCCTTCAGGAACTTCTCCTTGATCGGGAACCCTGGGAAGAACTCGGCATGGGAGCGGGGAGTTAGACCCAGCAGGGGCAGCGTTGCTGCCCAGCCCCTGGAGGAGGCGCCAGAGCCCCCGGTCCTCCGGCACCCGACGCCCGGTGGGGTCAGAGCCTGCCCGGGCTTAAGCAGCATTAATTTGTGCTCCGCATTTCATTATAGAGCAGTGTATGAAATGATGCTGTTTCTTTGGCAGCAGCAGCAGCAGCAGCACTTTTCAGAAGAGAAGTAGGATGGCTCCTTCTAACAACTGCAGGCCCGGGAGCCTGGCTACGTTACTTTATCCATCTAGGGAGATCAACCCGTCATTTTGATATCCTGATCATAACCTGAGCTGGATACTCAGTGAATGGTGAAACTCAGAGGTTTACTGTATATAGTGTGTCTATATAGTGCGTCAAGTCTTCAGAATCTGGAAGAGATTATGAGACTAGAGAAATGCCGATATCCCGGAGAAGCAAAGCCTTCCCTTCTCAAACTACGCGGAGCTTTTTTTGACTGAACATATTAACTGTCTATACAAACAGAAACAGCAAGGCAAGATTAAGCGCCTTTTCTTGCAAAAAACTTAAAGTAGTTCTTGTTTTGGCTGAGGTGGCCATGCAACCTGAGCCGTGCCCTCCGGAGATCAGCTTCCCTGGAGGAGGCCTCTGGCTTTGTCAAGGGCCTTCCTGGGAGGGGGCAGCGCCTCCTCCCTCCTCTCTTCATGCACCCCTTCTCTTGCAACTGATGGGGGAAATCTTCAAACATCCTCCCCAGCAGACCCAGTCCAGAGACCCTTTTCCTCTCGTAAAAAGCCTCTGAAGGAAGACGGGCATCTTGGCACTGCTGTTCCCTC